AGACGGGGTTTCACCATGTTGGCCAGGCTGGTCTCAAACTCGTGGACTCAAGTGATCCGGTCGCCTCGTGCCCAGCCAAATTTATCTTTCAAAATTATTTACCTAATTTTTTTCAAAGTAATGTATGAGAAATGTATCCCAATATTTTCAGTCTGTAAAATGTTCATAATAGCTCCAGCAACAGTTGGGTCAGCAAAAAGATTCTTCTTAAAATTAAAAAGCACAAGAAATTGCAATGCATTTGCAAGAATGGCTGACATCTTTTTCAATTGTATTGATTGAAAATGAGCTGGCTGAAAGTTTACATTTTTATGATTTAATCAATAAAGTTGCAGAAATGTGAGTCAGGAAAATCTTATAATCATTGAGAAGTCCCATTAATAAAGTATGTTTATTGTATTATATGCAATTATGACACATTCTTTTTATATTTTATAATTATATATTGTTACTCATATATTATTACTACCCTTGTTATACTTCATAAGTAAGAAAATATTGTTAAAGGAAAATGTTTTATACTTTAGTACCTTTGGCAGCATGTTCTTCCTACCCTTTGAATGAAAGGCCCGTTTTCATTGTTCACTGGGCCCGGCAAACTACGTAGCTAGTGCTGGACAGCAAGATTTAGTAAAGAAGTTCATCTCCAGAAGATTTCTCCTTGAATCCTTACTATTCTGTAGATGAAAAATAAAAATGGCATGTATTTATGGTGTACAACATAATGTTTTGATATAAGTACATATAGTTGAATGGCTAATTCTAGCTAATTAGCATATCTATTACCTCACGTTTCTCTTTTTTTTTGTGGTCAGAACACTTAAAATCCATTCTCTTAGACAACTTCAAGTATTCAATGCATTGCTATTAATAAGTACAGTTACCAAGTTGTACAAGGATCTCTTGAACTTATTCCTGCTGTCTAACTGAAATTTTGTATCCTTTGACCATTACCTCTAATCCTCCCCACCCTGAGCCTCTGGTAACCACCATTCTACTCACTGCATCTATGAATTCAGCCTTTTTAGGTTCCACACATAAGTGAGATTATACAGTGTATGTCTTTTTGTGTCTGGTTTATTTCATTTAACATAATGTCCTTTAGGCTCATCCACATTGCTTTAAATGACAGGATTTCCTTCTTTTGCAAGGCTTGAATAGTATTCCATTGCAGGCATATATTTTATATATATATATACACATACATACCACATTTTCTTGATCCACTTATCCGTTGATGGATACTTTGGTTGATTCTGTATCTTGGCTATTGTGAATAATGTTGCAATGAGCATGGGAGTGTAGAGATCTCTTTGACAGGATGATTTCATTTCCTCTGGATATGTACCCAGTAATGGGATTGCTGGATCATATAGTAGTCCTATTTTTGATTTTTGGAGGAACTCCATACCATTTTTCATAATAGCTGCAGTAATTTACATTTCCACCAACAGTGCACAAGGGTTCCCTTTCCTCTGCATACTTGCCAACACCTATCTTTCATCTTTTTGATAACAGTCATTTGACAACAGGTATGAGATGGAATCCTTACTTTTTTTTTTTTTTTTGAGATGGAGTCTCACTCTGTCGCCCAGCCTGGGGTGCAGTGGCGAGATCCTGGCTCACTGCAAGCTCCGCCTCCTGGGTTCACGCCATTCTCCTGCCTCAGCCTCCCGAGTAGCTGGGACTACAGGCGCCCGCCACCACGCCCGGTTAATTTTTTGTGTTTTTAGTAGAGACGGGGTTTCACCGTGTTCGCCAGGATGGTCTGGATCTCCTGACCTCGTGATTCGCCCGCCTCGGCCTCCCAAAGTGCTGGGATTACAGGCGTGAGCAACCGCACCCGGCTGGAATCCTTACTCTTTGCAACTTAAACTGACAGGTGATTTGGCCCATTAGAAACAAAAATGTTTCCTGTTTCAGATTATTTATTTCTCTTTCAATATCCAGAACAACACAAACACTGAATGTGTTTTTGTTTTACCATGAATTATTAGCATGGGTCCTGGCCTCTCGGCCATCTGTTCCTCCTACCTTCCTGTTTTTGGAGATAAGGAGGTCATCTATGGTGAAGCCAGTTCCACGATGTGTGGAACACAAGGTTACTACTTTTAAGAATAATTTTTCATAGCTTTCCTTCAATTTGATACTTTCCCATTGATTTCCAGTTTGTAAGTCTAGCTATTTGACTTCATCCTGAGCGTATCTTGGTCAGCCTGAGTAAACAACGACAAGAGGCTCAGGTGTTCTGGTGGCCTCCAGTTTGAAGTCTGGAAGATGTATGTCTGGACAGATGTGTGCAAAACCTTCTGTACATGAAGATCAGCATATCCCCAAATGATATGATAAGTAAAACTAGAAGAATAATGAAGAAAAATGATAGGCTCATGGAAGGGAATAAACAAGGTATGCCTCTGGTAAATAACTCCCTGAAGGACTCTTAGAAAAGACTTACTGGTTAATTGAATCAATCCATCATCCTTGGGGTGACAGCACCAAATTTGCAATCTTTTTTGGGAGTTGTTTTATTCCTTTCCAATACAGTTTAAATTCATAGAATAAGTAGTTAAAATATACCTGTTTTATTATTAAGGTGTCACATTATGAAGGTACTTTCATTATAGAAAATGCTCCCATTAATTTTAATAACAATTTAGAACGAGTAAGAGCATCAACATGTGGTTTGTAAAAGGATTTTTTCTCTCTGAATTTGTCTTACAGAAATTAACTTTTATTATTTTAAAATTTTAAGCGCATTTGCTTCTAAACTCCATAATAATTAAGGATTTTTAAAAAATGATCTTCATTATAAAAATCTGCCTTTATCCCTTTTAGGAGAAAGTCAGCTTGTCCTTTTTGCCATTGTGGGTAGTCATGTCTCCTAACACTTGTGCAGATTTCAGTGGGAGATGTGATCCTTGAATGTATTATCTAGTTCAAGTTTTGTTGAATTTAAAGTCATAAAATACATGTATGTTTTATGCATTTGGCCCTCACAACCATCAGAATTGTTTCAAGATGCTTGCATATTGTAAACTGGACATCGTATATTAATCACAGACTTTGTTCTTTCCTTTCTTGGAGTAGGTGGAAGGTAGGCATAAATAAAAGGAAAAGAGTATCGGGCAATGGATCCTAAGCAAAGATTTGCATGTGACAAGAATAATTGGAATTTTACAATGTAAGGATATTCATGTAAAAGCTTCCTAAGTACAAGTGTTGAGTGCTAAAATTTTACCAAAGACAGATGAAACATCTGAAGAAATATTTTCTTGAAGAGTATTGGAAATAGTCAACACGAGACTACTTATGTAATCTTAATCTCTCTAGTATTAGTTACATCTAAGTGTACTGTAAATGAAATAACAGAAAAACATATAGCCCTGAAATTGAACACATAAGTGTCTTACTAATGTATAAGAACACATCATATCTACATGTTTACATATTAATTTGGATTATGTTTTAAAAAACTATGATATAATAAAATATATTTAACATTGATACTACACTGAACCTGATACATAATAATTCAGAAATATTTTATGATTTAATACTGTTTTAGGGCCTTCCTTATCAAAGTTTATTTGAATTTATAAAACTCAGGGTCAGTTGATAGAGTCCGGGATTTGTTTTATTCTATTCTGACCAGAGTATACATCCTAAAATTTGCTGTGCGTGCAATGATGAGTTATTTGCATTTTCAGGACACAAGCTAATATTGAATAGTTCCTTAATTGCCTTAGTAGGTTTTATTTTATGGGTTTGAATTATGAATTGGTTTGGATCTCAAAAGTTCGTTCTAAAATGTGACCTGTTTAAAATGAGTTTGTATTTCTGAATTAAAATGGTCTACTCATTATAGTAGAGTGAAATGTATCAGATGTATAGCAGAGTGAAATGTATCAGAGGTTATATTTTTTAACAGTTAACAGATGCAGATCCTGGTTCCACAGGATTTTACCAAACTCATGATCTATTTAATTGAGAACTCCAGAAGAAAGAATCCTTTCTTTACAGTATATATACATATAGTTGATCTATCAGTTTTGTCCTTTTTATGCAACTACATTGTTGTGTGCATTTCACATCACAGTGTGAAGAAACATCCTGACAGTTATTCACAGTGACTTCAATGAACACTATATCAGTATACTTTTTACACAGGGGACAAAAGTAAAAGCCAGCTTGATCATTTACAAGGCTTTCACCATGCAGCTGAGACATCAAGGAATACAAGTTGATCTTCAGCTTCTTAAAATATGGCCTCGAAGCCTTTCGTGTCTTCAGTCAGCTCCAGCATTTTGACTGATGGGAGCTGGTGTGTGTCTGTGTGCAGTGGGAGAAAGGACATAATTCTGAACCTGACACAGCCTGCACCTGGAGCAGCCTGCGCCTGCTGCCCTCAATTCTTTGGGTGCTTACAATCAACCTCATCTGAAACATTGTTTGTACAATCGCTAATGCCAGTGGCTAATCTTTTCTATTTGTCTGCTTTATCCCAATACTGTCTTCTATTGAGGTGAATATTAATATTTGAATAACAATAACAAAAGATTCTGTAATGAAAGTGGAAATAAATGAGTATTTTAGATTATTTTTAATAATTCGGTCTGTAAAAATAAAAAGAAAAACTCTGCCTATAATTTAAACAAGATTTAAAAAAATAGTGACCTAACCCTCTGTCAACTATTAGCTTGATGCTAACTCTAAATCCCAGATAGAAGGTGGGGTGGGGGAAAGTTCTCCAAATGACAAGTCTATTGCAGGCAGTCTTCTAAAAGAACCCTCAGTGTTAGCAGATAATGAAAGTACATGTTACCTATGACTGAGCAGAAATGATGCCATGACCTGGCAATTTCTTTTCACTGCTGACATATCCCTGCACTGCACAAAATATCAGTGTTGCCTTCATGTACATTTAATAGAGTTTCTCTGTCAATGACATAAGCAAATACACCATGAGAAGCAGCAGGGGTTTTCAGGGATGGCTCAGAAACTTAAGCATTTTTCCATTTATTTTTAAAATGCAAATTACACGAGTAAGTCAAAAAAATCACTCTGTTAAAAATACATTCAGAATTAACAAATGCAAAAAAAAGGACACATCAGGATCATAACTCTTGCCTTCTGAATATTAGGTTTATAACAAAAGCTCAGCCTAGAAAAATAGCATTCTTCACCGGATTTTGAGGAGGATACAGCTGTACAACTGTAGATGTTTTCCCAGATATAATCACACTACTGTGCTTACTACTCCCATAAAAGACCTGTCCACCTATTACTTTTTAGTAGTCAACTACTGTTTTTTAAAATTTTGGTGGTGATGATAGTCATGATTTGGTGAAAACTTGGCTGTAACTGAAAGCAGGAATATGAGGGCTTATTTTCTGTAGCCATATACATGTAGTATAAGGTGAAATGTCACCACAGCATGAACGTACAGTGAAACCTCATTTTAATAGTCACATTAAAAGTCACATTAGAATAGTCTGTGGCATGTATAGTATTTATATTTTAGGAATCAAAGGACAATACATTGGTAAATATTTTTCTCATACATTAAACATGCATGTCACTATAAAAGCGTCTTATGAGGTTTCACTGACATGTTCGCAATTGTTTATTTTATACATGTATGTATGGACAAACATACAACCCACTGAGGAAATTCAAGCATGAGTGCTGGAATCTTTTTTTATAGTTTATGTTCCAATGATAACTCTTTGTTCCTCTATCATTTTCAAATGTTTCTGTGTGTTTATATTACAGACATCCATGCAAACACAGTAATGGAACTGGTGTATGTAGATCTGAATGGGCTAAGGTCCAAAGTAGTTTAATCCAATAACTGAAACTTCATAGAAATCAAAGAAAAAACTTGCTCCATGCCAATTTATAACTTCTGAATTTCACTGCACTAAAGAATGGTGTGTTAGTTTCAAAAAATTGAGTTTAATGTCTCAGGTGTATCCAAGAAAAGATACGACTCATCTGAGTTCCTGATAAGCCTGAGCTAATTATGTTTTCCACTAATGAAAACCAAATAATGCTTTAAAATATAGAACAAAATTTCCTAGGAGTTCAGAGTATTCCATAAACACATTGACCTACTATTAAGTTTCCAAAGGCATCTTGTTGCCAACTACGTTAACAGCACAGTTTTTTTCTGCCACAATAATACAGGAGGATTGAAATACACTCTAACACACAACAGATCCCCCAAATACCACAAAAAGATCTCAAATATTTCACCAAGGTAACTATTGCTCCCCCCACCCACCCAAAAATAATCTTGTACGCTGAAGTTAGAAAAAAAAGTTCACCTACGTAGAGTCTTCAATTTGAATTAGATATAAAAGAGTAAACATAGCTAATACATATTCAGTTGGCCTCTGTTGATAGAAATCCACAGCTGTTTCTGTGTTAGTAAAAGACAATTGTAGATACTTATAAAAGCACCTAGAGTGCAATAAATAAAATCAGCGAGTTAAGCCATTTCTGCTTTCTGCTTCCAGTAGATTAGTGAGTTTAGTAGATTAATGTTTTACTCTGTCCCATCCCCAACCCCATCAGAAGACCATATTTTAGAATTACAAAGATGACAAATATTGTTATTGTTACTTGTCTCTTTTGGGCCACCATGGAGGCTCTATGGTAAAGCACTTTGCTGACAGCTGGCACTTTTCTTATACAGACACACTGGAGCTGCTGAGCTATTCAGTCTTGTTCCTTGACATGAAACACACAGGCTTGAACTCATTCAGAATTAATAGCAGTGTGTTAGCCTAAAGGAAGTGACTTGGGGCTGTCTGCACTGAGATTCTTGGGCACACAACATAGGTGGGTTAAGGCAAGTATGTACGGTACAGCCTTTAGGGCAAACAATCTGCCATTTCGGACTTCGGGTACAAGGTCATCATGACATGTTTTGTTTGTTTTTGCAATTACATTGCCTAAGTAGCCGTGGTGCTGTCAAGATGTGTGGAGTGCAGAAGACAGAGCTCTCAAACTAATGTGCCTTGGATGACTTCCCAGCTCACAGAGGCCGACCGGCTGGGCTGCAGAGGAGTTAGCAATGGCCAGCAACCGTTGGGCATCAACACATCTCCTTTTGAACTTTCCAAAGGCCTGGGAGAAAGGAGCCTGCTTTCAGGAAATCCAAGATGGGCGTGTCCTGCATATTTGTCTGTTTCAGTTAGAAAGAGGAGGTCAAGTGGAATTGGTGTGTGCGTGCTCACGTGTGTGTGTGTGTGCGTGTGTGTGTGTGTGCGTGTGTGTGTGTCAGTGTTGTATGTAGAGGCTTTGCATTTGTTTTGTTAATACGTATATGTATTTAAACTCGGTTGCTTCTTGCTCTTCATAAAATGCAGGAGGCCACTGCGAAAAAAGTTCTTTGAAAGGTTCGTGGGCTGACATACTGAAGTCATCTGTATTATTTTGACCTAAGAGAGAGAAAAGATGTTTTTAGTCAAGGGAGAAAGCGACGGGTGCCTATTGCTCAGCACCTTCTCTCACCTTTCCAAGCACAAGAGCAAACAAACAAACAAACAAAAAAGAAGCCCAAATTGGGTTTTAAATAATTTTCCTCCTTTTTTTAAATTCATTGCAACTGCATGGATAGAGAGGCCAGTTTTGGTCATTTAGAATCTATTTCCAGGGACAACTGAAATGAATATGTACTTCTGTACAATTAGGCTGCCAAAAAGAATGCAATGTTTTCAAATGTTGTCTGATATACTATAGGATATTCTTATATTGCTGGAAGCCCAATCAGTTCTCGACTTGCTCTGACAGTCACTTAGGTCCCTGGTAGTCAAAGCAGCTATTTTGTTAAAAACGTAAGCTGTAGACATGGGATTTTTTTTTTTTTTTTTTTTTTGACAGAGTCTAGCTCTGTCGCCCAGGCTGGAGTGCAGACATGGGATTTTTTCTGTGCAGCAACTTGGTTGCTATTGGTTTGTTTCAACAACATTTACCAAACTGTAAGAAAAATATAATTAATATAATTAAAATCTTTCATTTTTAGATTAGTTATACATAATCTGAAAAATTACAAACCAAGAACAGTCACCCAACTTAAGAGGACTGTCTATTCGTTGTTTGCAAGAACTAAAACACAGCTGTGACTGTAGGTCAGCAGTGTTTTCAAAGCTTTGTCCAGGATCTTGGCCACAGAAGATTTGCTGGGAACAGTGGGAGCTCCACAGCTAAAAGTGCATATTGCTTTTCAACATTTGTTTTCCTTCCAAGGAACAGCTTTTGTTTCCATTTGCTATATAATATTGTTAGGGTGTTTGAACTGGCCCCTGAAGTTAAATTACTCTTACTTTACAAGACATATTTATGGCAGGTTGACAGAAGGTACACGCTAAATGATAAAGACATAGGAGATGCTAAGTTCTCTGCCTCTCAGTAGGGGATGAGGTTTATAGGTGTGTCAGTTTTGGTTTTTCACTAGATTTTCAATAAACAGTGGCTCTCAGATGATTGGTTTTGTGGGCTATGAAGTTGAAAAGGCCCTTCATTTAACAGTGCATAATGTAAAATAAAAAAGAAATAAACAGAATGCAGAAAAGGGAGAGAGGCACAGCCGTGTATGGAAATGTGGCAGCTAAGTTAGTGGTAAGAATACAAACAAGCCAATTAAAAATCAGAATGTAATACCAGGTCAAACTCGCAGTCTATTTAAGAATTTGGAAAGAACACTGACTGAAGGGGTCAGGAAAACCCGCAGATAATCATGGCTGCACCACTAACAAGTTGTGTGACTTTTGTTTTCGTTTTTTTGGATTGAGTTTCCTCATCTGTAAAATAAAACCTTACTGTTCTGGGTCCAAGGTCTCCTATGGGATGTTTTGTGGAAGGGATGATTGGAGTATTTTGACTAGTAATTTTTAAATGTACCTTAAGTATACAAAACTTCCTAAATCTGAATTCCATTAAACATTTCATGACCAGTGAGACTTGAAAGCTCTGATACAATTTTACCACTCTCATACAGGAAAGAGGAAAACAATATATTTTTTATAACTTTTAATTGGCATTTAAAGTGCTCTGTGGAACAAAATCATGGGAAGTTTTGTCCTCATGGAATTTAATTCTGGACAAAGATATCTATCTTTGTAGAGTCTCTTCTTTAAAGCCCATTAGAATTATAAATGCTTGATTTGAATTTAATATATTAAATTGCATATAACTAGCATTCTCATGTTTATCTTTAGATAAGAGATTATATCTAATGTATTACAGCTTGATAATATTTATTGATCACTCATATTGGCCAATACAATAAAATATTATGTAATAATATTAGTAGCAAACAATTACAAACCTTCCAGATATTTTTTTTTTTTTTTTTTTTTTTTTTTTTGAGACAGAACCTCGCTTTGTCACCCAGGCTGGAGTGCAGTGGCATGATCTTGGCTCACTGCAACCTCTGCCTCCCAGGTTCCACAGATTCTCCTGCCTCAGCCTCCCAAGTAACTGGAATTATAAGTGTGCACCACCACACCTGGCTAATTTTTGTATTTTTAGTAGAGATGGGGTTTCTCCATGTTGGCCAGGCTGGTCTCGAACTCCTGACCTCAGGTGATCCACCCACCTCAGCCTCCCAAAGTGCTAGGATTACAGGCGTGAACCACCGTGCCTGGCCATATTCTACTCTTGAGCACAAATATATTGATATATGTTACCTGAGTTTATATTATACATTAGCAGTCCTCAACCTTTTTGGCACCAGAGACTGCTTTTGTGGAAGACAATTTTCCCATAGCCCAGGGTTGGGGGGAATGGTTTTAGGATGAAACTGTTCCATCTCAGATCATCAGGCATTAGATTCTCATAAGGATCACAAAACCTAGATCCCTCACACATGCAGTTCACAATAAGGTTCGCACTGCTATGAGAATCTAATGCTGCTCCTAATCAGACAGGAGGCAGAGCTTAGGCAATAATGTTCCCTCACCTGCTGCTCAGCTCCTGCTCTGTGCTCAGCTCCTAACAGGCCATGGGCCAGGACTATTCATGGCCCAGAGGACCGCTGTTATATATAATATACCATTTACAGAGGAGATCTTTTAGGAATGACTTATAGTATATGTTACTTCTGACTTGATACAGCCTTTTCATGAGTGATGTTTATTAACATAAGCATTATTCTACCACTATGAATTATGTTTATTAAGCACTTACTTTGTGACATGTCCTGTGTTTCATGTGCTTTAAATATATATTCTTTTGTATAATTTCAGAGCAATCACATAAAGTCTGTATGCTATCTCTATTTTGCAGGTGAGGAAACTTAGGCTTGGTAAAATTAAATAGAGTTATTCAAACAAAGTTACATGCCCGTGGTCGCAGGGAATTTAATCTCAGACAATATGCCTTCAGTAGGTCATCTTAACCACTATTCCTGATTGGTCTACCTTTTTAAATAGAACACTTTAGAGAATGTTACATAAAATATTGAAAAGAATGATAAGGAGTGTCAAGGATTGATCATGTTTTATTGTTTTTGTAGCTATCAAGAATCTTTCTGGGGGGATAGGGAAGGTTTGGCATGCATAGCAAACAACTGTAGTACATGGTGAAAGAAATAAAAGAGAAATATTAGAGGAGAAAAGATTAAGAAATGCTTCATAAAGGAATATATCTTAAGAAAATTCAAAGGATAGTGGGGTTTCAAAGAGTGGAATTTGGAAAAAAGATGGTGTTTGGTGTCTAGAGAACAGCATGAACAATTGGAAAAATACATATATTTGGATAAGGCAAGAGTTCTACTTTGGCTAGAAAAAAGTGGCTAAGGGGAGCTATCAGACTGTTTATGCTCTCAATAGATTATAAACTTCAGGAGGACAGGGCTAGTTCTTATTCATTACTACATTTTCCTAATATATCCAGCATCATCTGCATAGGGTTGGGACTCAAACGTTATTAAGAGTTGAAGATAAGAGATACTGTTTCAACAGTAGGTAATAGGGACTCCTTGATAGCTTTGAAGCAGGGAAGTGAAATCATCAGCGCAGTGCTTTAGGATAGTTAATTTGGCAGCCATATGGAGGATACATTGGAGGTTCTGAAATAAGGAAGAGACCGAAAAACTTAACAGGTCATACATTGCATGAATTAGGGCAGTGGTTGTGGGGATGTAAAAGAGGAAATGTGTAATACACTGTTTATAGACGCAATGCTTTGAATGAAGCAAAATTTTGGTTGACTTCTTAACTGCTGAAGTCTGTTTTGTGGGTGCTATTAGCAAATGATTTCAGAGAACTACAAGTGACACAAAGAAAAAGGCAGGCACAGTGCAAGATTATTCTTTTTTAAAAAAGAAGCTGAAAAGAGGGATGTTTAAAGATTAATTTCTTTGGAGGAGCAGTACTTACTCCCAAACTCCATTTATTATCCTATACACTAAAGATATTAAAAGGTAAAATGATTCAATGGTGGAGGACAACGACAACAAACACATATCTTCAAAGAGAAGTTCACATTTTAAAATGAATTGGAATCTTACTTTCTATTTTGATCTTCGCTTGCAATTCAGCATATCACTTGATGCTGATATATAGAATTTGTTATCAGTTGTTATCCAAGGGAATTTGCCTAAACACAGATATAAAAATCAGGCTCTGATTGTATGTCTGCTCTGTTGAGTGCTAGAGTTAAGGGTTCGATAAGTTTCAGTGTTAATGTTCCAGTCATTTTCACTTTTACATTAGAAAAATGATAGAGAAAGTGTATTACTCAGTTTTTTATTTTTTTAACACTACATATAACTTGGGTGAACCTATTATTTATCATCTAAATGAGAACTCTTTTGAGAATAATAATTATGCCAGGACAACCACTATAAACTGAAACCAGAACATGTGGTTTATACATAATTACATATAACTGCCTACATTGTTATATAATTTTCAAAAACTACAACTTTTTGGCAACTCAAAGAAGTGGTAGATAATTAACACAGGCTTTTGAGCCATGTAGGTGATACTTATGTAAGACTAAAGGTCACTTTAGAAAAGACATTTCTTAGAAGTCAAATAAGAAAAATTCATGGAAAAATGTTATTGAAACTATACCAGTCAAAACAATATTAATAGAAAAAATACTGGAAGTATGTAACTGAACAAAAGCTGCATGCCATTGATTTTCTATCATGATACAGTTACTTGATTGTCTTTAGTACCCCCAGAAGAACACCTTCCAAGTAAAATACTTACATGTACATAGGCTGTAGTTGTAAATGAGATGTCTTCTGAGGCCCTTGATAGCCATAAGAGTCAAAGCCACCTATGAAATCAACTGAAAAGGGACAATTGTCTTCATTAGTTAGCTTTTCAGAAGAGATAAACATCCTTGATTGATCAAGGCCCCACACAGATTACTAATAAACCTTTTATTAGTAATAATCTATTAAACCTTTAAAAGTAACTAATTGCTAAGAAAAAAGAAATGGAAGAAATGATAGTTCCTTTAAGGTAGTGATTCCACTGCCTCCCTCCCCGACCACTCATTGTAAGATTCAATTATTGCTTTACAAGAATCTATTCACTTGGTAGAAAAAAAATGATGTACTATTTTCAAATAACCAAGACCTAATTGGAGTAATAGAGTTCATTTACACAATGGAGATGCTATATGCCTTTTTGGTTAGTGTAGATTTTCTGTGACATGCTACAAAATGTTATAGCATATAAATATAAATAATGACCACTCAAGTGCATGTATCTACCAGCAATTGCAGCGCTAGTAATAATATTACATGTTATGGTTATCAAGCACAAGGTACTGTGGTGGAGGTCATGTAAATTAACTCAACATTGCTGTCCCTGCCAAATGCAGTTTACGATCCGAAACAATCAGAGGTAAACATGTGGAACAGTCTAACCAAATATTCAGATTCAACACATACTTAGCTATGTAAGATACAATAAGATATAATAAGAGTTACTGTGGCAGATTATATTTTCCAAAATGGCAGCAAGAGTATCTCCTATGTTACATGTTTTTACAATATGACTTTGACATTTCTCCCATACAATGGTTTGAGTATGTCTCTTCCTCTTGAACATGGGTAGACCTTTCTGGCAGCTTTGACTATGCTATAAATGACACTATGGGGATTCTAAGGGTAGATCATAAAAGTATCATGCACTTTTCTCTTGCTCTTTTGGGATGTTCTTTCTTGGAACACAGCCATGATGCCACAAGGAAGCCCAAGCTAGCCCGCATGGAGAGATCAATGAAGGACCAATGGATAAGTGTTTCAGTAACAATACAACCAACGTATCAGCTGATAGCCAGCATCCAAACCCAGGTGTGGGAAATAAAATACCTTTAAATCAGGGGTGTCTTTTGGCTTCCCTGGGCCACATTGGAAGAAGAAGAACTGTCTTGGGTCACACATAAAATACACTAATACTACCGATAGGTGGTGAGCTAAAAAAATGCCAAAAAATGTCACAATATTTTAAGAAAGTTTACAGATTTGTTTTAGGATGCATTCAAAGCTGTCCTGGGCTGCATATGGTCTGTGGGCTGTGGGTCGGACAAGTTTCCTTCAAATGATTCTAGACCCTCACTGTTGAGTCAGTTCAGTCTTGGTATCTTCCCAGCTCAGGTTTCTAACATCAGACAACAGAGGCAAGCCATCCCCTCTGTGCCTGTCTGAGTTATTAACCCACAGAACCTATGAGCGTAATAAATGGTTGCTTTATACCACTAAGTTTTGGCAGCAATGGTAACCGGAACAGTCAAGTCTAAAAGTACTGTGAAAAAGTTTAGTTTTTGTTTTTTCTTTTTCATTTGTGAATAAAGAGGTTTTAGAGTGGGGATAAAAGAAACAAAAGAACACAAGGTCAACAAAATGAGAGAAAGGAGAAAGAAAGTCAAATAGAGATAAGCAGAATGCCCTAGGACACCCATTCCTTTTTTTTCTAGCATCTCCTTCTATTGGCTTACTTTGTCTAGTTATTCTCTTACTAATATTTGGGGTGCTACAGACAGAAACTGAAGCAGGGTGCAAAGTAACATAAAGTCCATGATGTCTGTGTAGTGGAGAAATCCTTTGTTTTCTCTTACAAAAAGACCTTATTTTTTTAGAGCAGTTTTAGGTTCACAGAAAAATGGAGCAGAAAGTACAGATAATTCCTGTATATTTCCTGCCCTGACACAAACACAACATCCCCCACTATCAATACCCTACACTAGAATGGTACATTTATTACAATCAGTGAACCTACACTGACACATTGTCATCATCCAAAGTCCATAGTTTACATTAATGTTTATTCTTGGTGGTGTACATTTTATGGGTTTTGATAAATGCATGACATGAATCTACCATTAGAGTATCATAATAGTTTCACTGACCTAAAATTCCCCTGTGCTCCTTCTAATCATCGCTTCCTCCCCCAACCCCTGGCAATCACTGATTTTTTTGCTGTCTTTATAATTTTGCCTTCTACAGAATGTCATGTCATTGGACTCACACAGCATGTAGCCCTTTCTGGCTGGCTGCTTTCACCTAGTAATATGCATTTAAGATTCCACCAGGACTTTTCATGACTTGATAGTGCATTTCTTTTCTCATGGGAAACCCTTTTACCGAGGCAGAATGTCTCTTCTCATCCAAAGTGGAATGGTATAATGACAAAAACAGAGACCCTGATATTAGAAGGACCAGGGTTTAATTCTGCTTTTCCCTTTGCCAGCTATGTGACCTTGGATAAACAACTTAACATCTCTTAAAATAGGAATTATCATATTTATCTCATACAATTTGTATGAGAATAAAGTGAGGAGTGTAGAGTCCTGGATGAGACATATGGTGTAAAAGAAGAAAATTAAGAGCCCCTCAAAAAATCCAAGATTTCTTTATAATTCTAAGCCATTCAGCATAGCAGAAAGAGAAGACAGAAAATTCTTAATTTGGGACAACTATAGAACCATAGCCAGTATTTTACAGGAAATGGATCAAAAGAGTGTGATCCTCTTTTGTCTTCTACATTGTACCTTAGCTAATACAAACAGTGCCAGAAGAACTATGTAATAATTACACAGTGACTCTATTTAAAGTTTGCACTTAAAAAAATTATTGACTGGGTGCAGTGGCTCATGCCTGTAATCCCAGCACTTTGGGAGGCCGAGGCGAATGGGTCACCTAAGGTCAGCAGTTCAAGACCAGCCTGGCCAACTTGGTGAAACCCTGTCTCTACTAAAAATACAAAAATTAGCTGGGCATGATGGCTCGCGTCTGTAATCCCAGCTACTCGGGAGGCTCAGGAGAACTGCTTGAACTCCAGAGGCAGAAGTTGCAGTGAGCTGAGATCATGCCATTGCACTCCAGCTGGGTGACAAGAGGGAAACTCTGTCTCAAAAAAAAAATTTTATATATATATATATTATTAAACTATATATATATATATATATATAGTGACTGGGGATTTGTTGCAGATAGTGTCTACATTTCTGTTTATCTGGAAGGGCTGTTGTTGACAATGAGACTAAATTAATGACTAGTTTTCTAAGAGGTATTCACCGAGTTAGAGCTTCACTGCTCTGAGCTTCTCTCTTAGTAAGATGGTCTCTACCGTGGTGGTGGAGAGTGGGTTACAATAGATCAAGATCATGGCAGACAGAAACAGTTAAGGTCTCCACTGAAATTGAGATCCAAGTCAAACTCAGGTTTATTAGTATTTTTACTGCTACTGCTGTTGTTGTTATTATCATTGTGTTAGTTTTGAAATATTTATTCACTTGTTTACAGGGATTTAGGGGGGATGGCAGAAAAAAACAAAACAAAACAAAAAAACATGATAATTACGAACCAAAGATCTTCGGATGAACCAAGGGATAATGTGATGAAAATAAGATGAATCTTCAAGCCCAATGGATAGAATTAGGTCCAAAAATGGAAAGCAAAGCTTGAGTCAGAAGCAATGTAGACCTTCCAAAGACATGAGAAAAGGGAAATGAGGGTGTCCTGAGTCTGTGGTGCGAATGGAGCTTGAGTGGCCTGGGGCTTGCTCTTATTAACCATGATCTGTATGCTGTGTAGGTGGAGAGAGATGGCTTACAACTCCCAGATTAGGGAGGACAGCACTAAAGCTCTGATGGAAGGACTGTGATCATTCTGATTATTCGGACCATGCTGATGGCCTAGGTATGGAAGAAATTCCAACAGAAGGTGACCCAGAACCAAGATGAGAAAAGAAGCAGCTCTGAATGTAACCAGGCTGGATTTTTACCATTTCACTTGTGAGGGGGCATTCAAATTTAAATCAGGAGCAGAGGGCATATTTTCTATAGTTTATTTTACCTACATGCTTGAGTTCACAGCCAAGGAGATGGTGTACAGCAAATTTTCATGTGCACTTCTTCTCAGAAATTGTTTGAATGTCTTCCTAAAGACCCCAGAGAGAGGAATAGGAGATCAACTGGATCCAACCACCCATTATAGTTAAGATTATGGGGGTCAGCACAGGGAGACTTGATTCTTCTCACCTTTTACAGAAGGGTTCTTCAACCACATATGGAACTTTTTGGGGTGCCATGTAGATAGATAGAGAGGTAGAGGTGTTTTTTTTCCTCTCAAAAATGGAATTAGTGGGGTTAGCTTACATGTTTAAGATACCCTTAAGACCACTTTGTTCTGTTTTCAGTTTCTTTTACATAATGACATTTATTCAGGCTCTAAAGAGACTACTCATATTCTAAAACTTTTCTGAGCAATAAGGGTCATAAAATATTTGACAGATTTTTGTCCAAGTAATTTGGATGGCAGCTAGATGTTTGGGTCGTAACTTATCTCTGCATTATTTAGAAAAGAGTAACTTCTATCAATCAAGAATCTCCTTACATCCTTAAAAATAAACTACGTTCCCCCAAATTGCAAAATACTTAATAGTTCATGAAGCCCTTTCAAGTGATATCATTTATCTTCACAAAATTACTTTGAGGTTGGTAAGAATAATTATCTTAATTTTACAAATCAATACAGATTTATTGAGTTTTATCCTGAGGCCACACAACATTTGAGGATGAGAGTAGAAACCAGGTATTCTATTTCCTTTGTACGTATATTGAAAAAGAGATTTCTGCATTTGACTTATGCCATTCTAGTACATTTTTCGAATGTTATCTACAGTGATCAAAAGCATCAAATCACGTTTTTATGTTCTTTCTAAGTTATTAATTTAACAAAAGTCTTAAGTAGTTGCTTTGAGTTCCCCTTTTGTTATTTGTTCTCCAGCATCTTTTACTCTGTTCTTTCTAGAAAATTTGCTCTTTATCTTCTTCCC